AATTTCCCTGTTCTGTGGGCAACAAAGATCATTCTGAAAATGCAACTTTGACTCACCTCTCCGCGGATTAACCGAGAGCTTAAATCCTGGGTTGTTGTCACAACGCCATCTTGACTTCCTCTCCTGGCCACTATTTTTAAACATCCAAATCCATACTAGAGGGCAAGTAATGGAAAAAGTTATTAAATCTAGTTTTTTTACTTCTAACCTTAAATATTTCACACATCCAAGGAGAATTTGACCTCAGGAAATTCCCCATTGCCCCCTTGGAACAAAATGAGGTTGCCATTTCCTGCTGCTGTGAGGAAGATCAGACAGTGGTCACAGCATCTGATCCTGTACTTGTGGCATACTTGGAGCCGGCTCAAATTTGAATTTTCCATTTAATTGCTGCCAATCAGTGGCAGAAACTGGCATTTGTGGAAAATTTTAGTGCTGAGTAGTTCAGATTAATATCTGTTAGTTGTCACCAAAATACAGAGGTTCGCCTCTGAATTCCATGAAAATTTCCAACCTTAAACCTGTACTGTATTATATACTTTAAAATGTGCTAGAAGGGTAGCTCTCATAAGTATTTTTACCACAATGAGATACAAAACAAACAAAACCCCTGGCCCTTCATACGCGGTGTGGGCAGCTCTGCACTGCAGTACCTGCTTCACAGCCAGGCTGTGCCCTCGTAGTGTCTGTGTGCCGGGTTCCGTGTCTCATGCACCTGATGGACTTAGAATTGCTGTGTGGCGTTTGCCTTTGGTACTCATGGTGGTTAAACAGCAAGTGCCTTGCCCCTCCATCAGGCTGCTGAGGACCCAGCAGGTTGAGGCACCCTGCTACTCCCATCTCCAGCTCTCCTTGGCTGGAACCCTCGCAGAGGGAGACCAGCAGATGGTGAAAGAAGTGTCAGAGTGAGAGACAGGAAGAATGTGTTCTGGGGTTTAGAGTGGAATTCTCAGTAACGCACAAGGCTAAGTGCTTGCACATATTCCCAAAGGAGGTGGGTGGGCCAATGTCAGCAGAGGGAATGCAGAACGAGAAGGCCCATCAGCAGGAGAGGCTGCCCAAGGGCCTGGGTGCATCCAGAGCTGCTTCAGGACTGAGCTAGGCAAATGGAGGGAATGGTGAGTGACAGTGCCCAGATCCATGTGGGCTCTCCCTGAATCCTTCAGACAAGGAAGACCAGAGGGAAGTGGGAAGGGCAGGAGAGGGTGTGGGGGAAGCAAGGCAAGAAGCCAAATGATTTTGAACCATATGTTGTCCTTAAGTCCTTCTGGGTTTCACATTTTGTTACAAAGTCTGTAATAAACCCTGCCCCCACTGCAGTGTGCTTCATTAAAACAACTGTATAGCTAAAGTAATGGAGTAGAAGAAACAGATGTAATTTATTTTATTTATTTTTATGTGTATTTACTTTTTGAGATGGAATTTCGCTCTTGTTGCCCAGGCTGGAGTGCAATGGCATGATCTCAGTTCATTGCAATCTCTGCCTCTCAGGTTCAAGTGATTCTCCTGCCTCAGCCTCTTGAGTAGCTGGGATTACAGGCACCCTCCACCATGCCTGGCTAATTTTTGTATTTTTAGTAGAGACAGGGTTTCACTATGTTGGCCAGGCTTGTCTTGAACTCATGGAAAGGAAGTTCTGGCCCAGTGACTTGGTCTTTACCTTGTCACTGGGTGGTCTAAACCCCCGTGGTACTCATTCCTGGGCATTAAATCAGCACCTGTTTATTTCACTGGGTTTTTGTTTTTTTTTTTTTTTCTTGAGACAGAGCCTCCTCTGTCATCCAGGCTGGAGGTCAATTGCATGAGCTAGGTTCACTGCAACCTCCACCTCCCAAGTTAAGTGATTCTCCTGCCTCAGCCTCCCGAGTAGCTGGGATTACAAGCACCTGCCATCATGCCTAGCTAATTTTTGTATTTTTGTAGACATGAGGTTTCACCATGTTAGCCAGACTGGTCTTGAACTCATGACCTCAGGTGATCCACCCGCCTCGGCCTCCGAGAGTGCTGGGATTATTTCACTGGGATTTTAAGCTGCAGTCATTCAGTGTGGAGGGCATTCCAAAGGCAAAGGGCATTTACAAATCTGTTGTATTCAGGCAAAAAATGTTTTAATTAGAACATGAAAGTTTGAGCGCTAACAGCCATTGTTCACGAGGAGCCCCAAATGTCAGGCGCTATGGCGTGCGCATTCCTTGGATCTTCACAACTGTCCTGTGAGTAATAGATGAGATTGCCTGTTGCCGTTCTATAGATGAGATTTGAAAGCCTGTCAGGGACATAATTAACTTGAGGTGAGGCTAATATTCAGACCACCCAGGTCTGTTAAGCTTCAAAGCCTGTGCTGTCCTTTAACTGTAAGCAGGAAATATTCAAGGAGCCAGATCACCTGGGAATCCCACGCCAAAGACAGCACCTCACCTACTTCTGGAAGCACGGGCACCCGGGCCTGTGTGGAGCGGCCCCGTTGGACTACAGGCTTGCTCTAGGTGCTAGTGTAGGTTGCTAGAACATTTTGTGCTTACAGACGACTGGTAACAGTGGAGACAAATACAATGCTGTAAATGAAATGGTTTTGTAAACCGAGGAAGTTATATAAGAGTCGCTGTTTACAGCTGCAGTTTTTTTAAGACAAAAAAATGTATGTGCTTACAAGTAAGTCCTTCTGAAAGTGTATTTTTAGTTACCACTCTATGCTCAAAAACTGAGCTTTTGCACTTCTGACATTTTTAACATGAAAGTGTAAAGTAAGGTGATGAGGTTTGCATTATTAAGGCAAAAGCCAGAGTCTTGACAGAAACATGACAGTAAGACAAAACTTTACAGATGCAAAGATCTAACTTTTCGGAAGCTGTTTTAAAATGCGCCTTTGAATTAGAATCCATTCAAACAAAACAAGGCAGTGTAGTGAAGGAATCTAATTCGAATGTTCTCAGCAACAGACTCATGCCCTGCATGTGTCATCACAGAGAGCAGAATAGGGGCTGTTATGCCATGGCCCAGGCTGGGTGGGCCTCTGGAAAGTTCCGAGGGATTCTTTTGAGCATGCCTTTCTGACTGTCCCCCCAGGGGGATGGGGGAGAGGGTGGCCAGGTGGATTCTACTCAGCTGTGGACACTTCTGTTTTCAAAACGAATATCTAAAATAATTGGGTGAAAGAAAGCCAGGATTGCTTAACTGCAGAAACTGGAGGGATTTGGGAACAGTCAGGTGGCACTGAAGTACAATGGAGAACTCCCCAAATTCGCCACTTTTGAGCATTAAGGAGGCCCAGGGCAGGATGGTGATCCCGCCCCCCTCGCCCCGGGCATGGGGGAGAGGGCTGCTGGGTGGATTCCTCTCCCCCATGCCCGAGGGGATCGTCAAGGAGGGGGTTCAGACAGCAAAGGTGTGGGCACTGGACATGTGCACTTGCCCTCTCTCCCTGCCGTCATCCCCTCCACCTCGCCCGTTCTCTCTGTCGCTTGGTCCGCGCTGTCCCAGAAGCATCTGAGCACGGTGCTTCTTGGCTCCCACACTTCAGCTCCAGCCAGAGCGGGCGGTTCCTTTGTGCACCAGTAGCTTCCACGCACTTCCAAGCCTTTGTTTTTCTGTCTCGGGTCTTTCGCAGAAGCCATCTGAGCTTGCTCAGTCTACAGCCAGAGTGTCTGGGAAGATGATCCTGTAAGGGCACTCCTCAACCGTGGGGACTGTTTTCCACAGGCAGGTGTCCCAGCATCCTGTCCTTCAGAGGCGCAGCCTGCGTGGTTTCTCAGCGTCGTTGAGCCCCTTCGCCGGTAGAGGGAACCAGCTCAGCCTGCACCTTTTGCTGTCTTTTCTCTCTCCGCTCTCATTTGCCTGTTGCCTCTACTAACAGCTCTCACATTCTTGGCTCTGAGACAGCTTTCCAAGTGACAGCCGGTACAGCCTCACAGGGACGGTGGGGCAGAGAGGAGTCCTGTGTCTCCGTTGTGACGAAAAAGCCCCAGGGTTTACTGGATTTGCTGCTTATGGTCTGCAAAGCGGGATCCCCAGCCTGGACTCCCCTCATTCCTTCTGTGCAGAGCTGTCTCCAAGAACAAAGTTTGCACTAGTGTTAGCAAGTCTGGGGGTTGTCTTTAATATTTCTACAATTGTCTGCTAAATTAAGAGATGACAGAATTTATCCCAGAGTATGGTGTGGTTTATCAGTGACTACTTGCCGTTTTACAGGAAGGAAAGTTTCCTATTGCTCTCTCTCTTCCTTCTTATAGCTCTCTGCGAATCCCCTTTAAAAATAGTCTTGAAGAATTTAATTCAGAGTCTAAAATGGGTGTACCGAAATTGGGGCCTATACTGTTTTGAATGGTCTTTTCAAGAGTTCAGTTTCCACATGCTCATCACAAGTACATACAAATGCAAAAAATAAATGGTATCTGCTGCCACCATGCAAATCCACTTGAGTAGTTTGGTAGGTTGTGTGGGGTTTTGTGCACACAGTCATCATCTGTGAACCCATATCCTTACTTAGAGCATAGAGGTAACACTATTCTAGTCTCTCGGTGTAGGAAATTTAGAGCCTTTCTGTTGTTCTTTATGACTAGAGACTGCCAATGCCAAGGAATTTAAAACACACACTCAAGGGGTCTGTTCTGTTCCATTGTTGAATAGTTGTCATTGTTAGGAACATTTCGGTTCTGTGTGACAGCCACCCAAAGACTTCGAGGCATCTAGAAAGTCCTCCTGGGGTGAGCAGTTTCCCTGGGGACTCCTGGCATGAGGGGACCTGCTGACTGTCTGAATGCCCTGTGTAGAACCCAGCATTGGGAAAAGAATCATGATCGGACCAGAATTGCTTCTAGTAGAATATGAAGTAGTGACTTTTGAAAAGTCAGAGTTACGACAAGCTGAATGGGAAGTTTAGCTAGGGAGCCATAAGGAGGGTTTCTTTGCGACAGGTCTTAAAACACACAGCATTTACCCCCATGCATGTGCTTTGTTGCTGAAAGAGAAACAAAAATCAAAGCAGAAACCCAAGGGACAAATGTGTGCCACTGATTATTTTTAATGATTTTGTGCTATGGTTTGGCCACAGCATTAAGAACAAGCAGAAAAATCTGATTTCATAACTAACGAACAGTACTTAGAGCAACATCGTTCTTTAAAAGTATTGCAATTACAGACCTTAGGTCGAAGAACTACATCACCATTGCTCGGGTAAAAGAGGCAGATACATGACAGGTGGAAATCTTTTTCTGTATAGAACTGGGAATTATGTTGAAAAGTAAGCGCAAATGTTTGTTTAAAAAAGACTTTAGTGACTTGTATCATAGCTCACAACCAACTATTGAAAAGTTCAAATACAGTTGTACTTTTTAGTAGATTGCTTTATAATAAAAATTAAATGAACTAAATGCTGTGCATTGTATTGTACATATTTTAAAATAGTTTTAAACTAGACAAGCATACAATTAGAAAACGTGATTTTCGAAAGCAATAAAATGAAAGATAGCAACATACCAACAAGCACATTAAAATGAACCAGTATAATTAACAGTAAAGTTTAAGCCTCAATTCGTTCTGTAGAAAAAGAAGCAATGATGTGGTAACAAATTTTAGTACCTCTGAGTCTAGAACATTCTCATGCTCAACAGTTCTTGCACAGGGTTGAACCTGGGGTGTGGGAGCTTTGTTTTTGACAGTAATGAGCCTCAGTTCTAAATGCGGAATCACAAGGGATGCAGCATATGATGGAACCAACACATGGGTCTAGACACGCGGGATCCACAACACCAAGAGTGTCAACTTCTCACGGCCCTTTTAAACAAATACTAAAAGGGCTGCCTTTTAATCTGTTCAGCATTGAGAGTTGCATTGTACAGTCGATTTCAGTTTAAGGAGAATCGGTCATTTGTTTCCTGAATGTTAGGGGTATGATTCCATTGTGATTTTCAAAGTCAGAACATACACCGTGAAACTAACAAACTTTGGAATTTATTGGACTATCCTCTGGTGGCAGAATAAGCTGATGATATGGATCAGATGGGCCAAATTCCATGGACTGCCCTTACGGATAACACTCGAAAGGATACCCACACCCAAGATTCAACCATGGTTTTAATGAACACGGTGTTATAAACTTTTTGTTCTTTTTTTAAAAAAATTAGGGCATTTGAAGATAATGCAGAGGTCATAATCAGACACTAAAAACTAAACTCGGAGAAGGATGTAACAATATACAATTCAAAACGTAATTTCTAACTAATGGCAAAACCAAGCTTGCTTTTTGGGTCAGGATGATGATGGGACACGAATGGGAATGGATGAGAGCTTCGCTTGGCTGGCTGACAGCCGAGTCTCTTCTAGTGCTAACCCATAACTAAACACTTTTTCCAAGAACAGGGCCTCCTTGTAAGTGGATGTGTTTTTCCTGAGGTATCTTTCCCTACAGTCTCTACTGTTGCTTCATTGGCTCCACAGCTTCAGTTTGTAAAAGAAAAAGGCACAGAGAGACTTGGACACAGACGGTAACAGATGCCTCTGGAGCTGAATGAAGTCCTCTGCTGTAGGCTGATTTACTTTTTCCTCTGACACAGTTTCTGCAATATTAACAACAAAAATGTGCACTTTTCACTGAGGCCTGACACCTTCGTGATGCTACAGCAGGAGACAGATGCAGGAGATTATAAAGCAAGCTGAAAATCAACATTTTTCTGACTCAAATGTAACTAACACTGGTCCAGCTGAGCATTACCAAAAAGATTAAATAAGAAGCGTCTAGTGGCAACCAAAAAGCTGTTGGATTTTTTTAAAAAGTATTTTCTTTAAAGTGTTTTCACAGCAAAGATGCAACTTTCCATTGCTATATATACGCTGGTCATGAACTGTTGCTTGTTCACACTTCTTTCTCTTGTGTTATAATATTGATATTTAATAGGAAAATAAACTACATAGATTTTAATCTGTATGCATCCATTTGCAAATTTCCTTACAAAAGAAGACAAAGCACATAGGCATTCACCAATTCTATGCCATTTCTGTTAAAATTGATATCGTCTATACATTATATTACAGTATTAACAACTTTTTGTTCTACCCATTGGGTAGGATATGTGCATAATATATTCAACTTATATACAGCACCTTACACATAAAAACATAAGAAAAGACAGACAACTGAAAAAGCACCATTTTAAGTGAGGCACAACAAAGGTGGGCGCATCAAGTGCAGGAGGGGCGGCTTGGTTCCTGTGTCTGCTGAACTCACCATGAGGCACCTTTAGTTGCTGAAAACTGACATGCAGATCTCTGACATGATGGGGGTGTATAGATATAATGTGCCTATATATTCTCTATATAGGATAGTGTCTATATATTCTCTATAGCTCTAACCCTCTCCCGCATTACACAAAACAAGGACACACAGAGGGAAGAAAGAAAAGGATGGAGGAAGACCCTGCTTTCTTAGCAAGACATTCCTGCACTCAGACAGCAGCTTCCTAATGCATCCAGTTCAGGAAGCAGCAGCAGCAGATGACTGTCCCTGGCAATAACATGAACTCTGCAGAGGACACAGCGTGCTGAGTATTAAAGAATGCTGGAATCTTGGTTCCTAAAAAACAAAGACCATGGCAAGGCTAAGAGTGCTTCCCATTGCTTGTTCACATCTCTGTGATCTGTGGAGGTGCTGGCAGCTGCTGGTGGTGGAACTGGTGAAAGGTAAGCCACGCAGCTGCCGAGAGCTAGCATTTAGGATCTGGGCTGAAAGCAACATATCTTGATTTGTGACTTTCCTCACACCAGGAAGGGGAGGTTCTCCTCTTACACCTGTCATTCAATTGTTCTTTCACCGCAGCAGGCCAAGCACGGGGCGTTTGAGGTCAGTGTGAGTAGGAGAGCAAGGGGCAAGGCTGTGGGGCTTGTTCATGGAGTGAAGGCTTGGCTCCAAGCACTGGCTTTAATCACTTAGGCACGAAACGCAAAAGTTAACTGAAACCAGGTAAATTTCCCATTTTTTTTTTCTCTCATATACTGCTGAGCTTTGGAAATTAAAAAAACATTTGTTTAAACAAAAATTAAAACACAAAGTTAATGCTGTCATTCTAAGTAGCAAAATTCAATAAGCGAGCAGTGCAGCAACCCCCGTCCCCAACACCAAGAAGGGGTGCATCCAGTTAGGGCTGCGTGGGTGGCCGGGCTCCCTGCACCTCCAGCAGAACATCTCTGAGCTTACAATTGACCGACACCACGAGGCCATCCTTTGAGGGAGGGCCCAGGGCTGGGTGCTGTGTGTCTCTGTGCCAGCAACCAGTGTCTGGCCTGAGGACATATTTGAAGCACTCTGCATCAGAGCCTTCAAAAAAGAGCCACTGGATGGAAGATAGAGGATGGCCCCTGTCAGAGACAGGAACTGTTTGTTCAGAGAGGAAGGCAGGGATTTAGATGGATTCTTCTAGGTCAGAGAAACTTTCTAACAGTGCTTCCTTTTGAGCCTTTCTCTTCTTATGAGATGAAATAAAGGTGAAGAAAATCAAATGGAGATTGGTAGAAGTTCAAGAAGTCCTCGCCTGGGTACGACAGGCGGCCGCCCCCATTTACTGTTGGCCCCTATTTCCTGTCTCATAAGTTTGAGTGAATGGAAATGCAGTCCTCATGATAAATCTTTTAAAAATTCTCCTCTGCTCTCTTGGGATTTCTTGTGGCTTGGGTGTGTGTCCATGTGTTTATGTGGTGGGAAGGTGAAGACATGCTTGTCAAGCTTCTGTATTCGTGAATTTTGGACACCAAAAATAGATCAACTCTTGAAATACCTAATTTGTTTCATGAAATCTCTTTTCCATTAAGGATTGCTTCAGTATTTAAAAAGAATGCTAGAGTTTCTGAAAAATCAAATATATGCTGGAAGACTCTGTTCTTATAGGTGGGCTTCAGGATGCCTTGGGTCTCCTATACCTGGAACAAGGGACTTTTGAAAGTCAGCGGTATGCCCAGGAGTGCTCGTTCCCACCAACTGTTCTTCCTAACAATGCAATCCTTTGTTGCCACACTTTGCTGGAATAGTCTGAGATTATAAACCTATCACTGATTGTCTAAATCACTGGTTACTAAACTGGACCTGTGGGTTCCATGAGCTAAAAAAAGAATTCTTGAAAGAACAATAGGCCCCACTGTGTAAGCTCCATCTTCACAATCTCCACTCATTCAACATCACGCCAGCCATGAGGTGACACGGTATGAACAAGTCAGCCACAACCTTCAAAAGAGCTACTCATGTAAATCACCTTTTCCTTGTGCTGAAGGGAAATTGACTATTAATTCATGTCTGACCTTGGCTTTTAAACTAATTCATTACATAGTCCCAGCCTCAAAGACCTTTCAAAGTCATGGTTTGATATGTATGTGTCTTGATTTAACAAAGGCAATTCTCTAGGGTGGCGAATGGGAGGAGCCTCTTTCTTGAAACATGGTTAAAGGTATCTGAATTACATAATTATCTTGCCAATACTGTGGACATATGCAAAACATTCATATACTCACATTGCTAAGGAATTCACAAGTCTCTGCTCTGAGCTCCTTCTTGAGACAGGTAGAGAAGTAAGGACCGTGAAGCCATTTGAGAGCTAGGGCTGTGGGGTGTGTCCCCTGCTTCACCAAAACTGTGGGCGAGAACTGGAATGATGGAATCACCTTCTCGCCTCCGCATGTGCAGGAACACCTGACCAAGAATCCACTGCAAGTCCCTGCCCAGGGCCCAATGGGCAAACGGGCTCCTCATCTTTGCCTGACAGAGGAAGAGGCTAATCCGGAGAGCCAGTGAACCTTCAGGGCATCTCCAGGGTTGGGGAAAGTCCTGCCTGGCCCCTAACCGATCTCTGCCCTGAGAGCTGGTTTCTCTCCTGCAGAGGCCTTCCAAGTGTCACTGGAACAAGACTGAATCCAGTCTCGGAAGCTCCACTGTGGCCCTCAACTGTATCTACTTCCACACAGGGTTGTAAGCATGAGCTGGCAACTGGTGCCCGTGCTTTTTCTCTCTGCATTTAAGAGTTGGACTAGTTCTGTGGATGTTACTGTGTGGAATGGATGAATGTAATGGAAATTCCAATCCTCAAAACCAACAAAAACCAGCGACCTACCTACAGAGGTAAGAAGCAGAAGGGAACAGACTGGGATCAGACAGGACTTGGGGTTTGGAACAATCTCTCCAGTTATAGCACAGAGTCACCGCACCTCTGAGACCCACAGGCAGACACAAACACACACGTGAGGATTTGGCTTTAAAGCTGCATAGATCGGAGTCATGGAATCATCATTCCAGCTCATCTTGTTATGTGCAGAGGCCACAGAGGCCCACCCTCCACATGGCAGACCATTCTGCAGAGAAGCCCTTCTCCACGCGCAGTGTCTGCTAAACATGTTGGCTGCTGCTCTTATAAAAGCCAATGCTTACATCTGTAGAAGAAAGTTATTTTTTTAATTGTACATAAGAATGTTTGTAAATGTCAGGAGTATTAAAACTAATGGTATTTAAAATCAGTTTTCTCGTTGCATTTTAACTGCATGTTGTGCTTTTTACCCTGTGCTCTTAAGTCACTCGCCCCCTCCACTGTTCTCTGACGGTCCAGGTCTGGCCTTCAGTACAAAGGCTGGCCTGGAGAAGGGTTTGGTAGAATCCTGCAGGAGTTTGGGTAGGTTTTGAGCACTGCATTCCTCTAACAAGGCTATGCTAATACTAGTGACATACAATGGCTTATTATGATCAGCAACAGGGCATTCTTCCGTCATTTCTAGGGGCTTCCAAAGCATAAGAAACCACCACCCACACCACTCCTGCAGGAAGTTCTGGGTAGGCCGGATGTGGGGTGGCTGTTGGGAGCCTCCTGTGAACTGAGCAGCCCTGCAGAACTGAACTGAGCTGTCGAGGAAAGGGGAGAGGCAATGGGGATATACTGAGGAGTCACATATTTCAACAGTATGCAGAATAACCACCTTGCATTTTAAACAATTTATTGCATAAAATAAGGTATATATTTGAATATAGTTCATGCTATAGTGAAAAATATCTAAATTACTGAAGAAATTGCACTGCTGAAGGATGAGGGCAGTACTGCATGATACTGGATCCATAAACGCACGTGTTCATTTTCTCATAAAATATGCAGCCTAAGACTAGCAGAGTAACTCAAATAACAAGTCAGAAATGCTGGAACTTAATCTTCCCTATCTTCCATCCAAAAGTCTCCAAAAGCTTCACTGCTATTTGATGCAAACTCCTGCAACAATAATGACTTTTTTTGATTTACGCAAGTTGGTAAAATATTAGGCTACATCCCCAAATATCTGTTCTTAGATGATTCTGGGGACCACTCCAGGATATTCCTTGGGCCTGATGACAAACCACAGGTGAAAAGACAACATACAGAACTTCACATAAAACAGTTCCCTCGTATATATTTTCCACATTAAGATAGTGCAACTCTGAACACATATCGTCACAACACAAAGGAGCTCCTTGCATTCACCCAACTCTTCCACTTTATGCCCTGGCACACAAAACAGGAATTTTGAGTCATACTTTTTAAACAAAATGAAAGTTCCACACCTTAGGAGAAAAAGCAAACTGGCTGGTTCTTCCCCACAAGAATATATAATAATCCTTCCTTCTTCATTCAGTCAATTATAAAACAGGCCATTCTGGCCTCATTTATCTGCAAAGTCTTTCATAATTAAATAAACCAAATACCTCTGTGGGTTTTATTTCATGATAGCTTCAAAGCATCCCTTTCTCTGTTTTCCCCTGCCCACACCCCCATCCCAACCCCTGTCCCCAAATAAACACTGTTTGCAGTCAGACCAGGGGGACGTTTGTATCATTTCAGTCTAGTTTGCATGCAATTCCCCTAAAAGGAATCAGAAGCAAAGACCATGTTTGCGCATTTGGTTTTACTTATTTGTACCATGTAAAACTGAACAACACTGTACGCAGGAGGGGCCCAGCGGCCGCTTCCCTCCTCGGTTTCTTTCTCCAGCTGAAGCGCACATTGGAGGAAATCAGACCAGGTTCCCAGGCTTCCTGTCTTTGCCTTTGATGGGCACTACTGTGCTCTCTGCATTGTTCTGCTGAAACTGCAGTCTGCTGCCCCTGTGTGCATTGCTGCGCTGGTGATGGAGGAAAGAGGCACCTGGGTGGTGGCCCATCACCTCGCTGTATGTGGGGGGCGGCCCCTCCATCCTCCCGTTGCTGCTGCAGGTGGATGCACTGATGCCCGAGTTGCTGCTCGGTGGGCACGGGCCCCCACTATACATAGCAATGTCTATCAAATCACTGTCAAATATGGTTCGGTTGGGTGGGGCCCTCACGGACTCTCGGTTGAGTTCCATCTGCTGTTCAGGGTCCCGGAGCTGCAGGGTGCAGGGCCCCTGGTAAGGAGGTGGCTCTTCACCATCGGACAAGGAGATGGTGGGAGGAAGATCAATCTCGTGCTGCACATAGGGGTAGGTGGGCTGGAAGCGGCTGAAGCGATCCCTCTGGATGAAGGATGGAGCTGTGAACCTGTCCCTGGACCGCGGGGCATGCATGATCTGGAAGGGAAAGAGAGGCTTGAAGATGGTTTGGGTGCAACGATGACCTTAAATGTAACAGAATCAAGGAGAGTCACACTTGGTTCCTACCAGTTTGAACACCATCTCCCAGAGAAAGCAGGAAAATCCAATTCTAGAAAAAAGCTTACTTTTCTGATTCCCTATGTTCCTTATGACAGACCACTCACCTTGCCAAATCCCAGCGCATCCAGGAGGGCTGAGCAATGGAGAGCTGTGGGTAATTGAAAGCTTGGGCTCCTGGGAGTTACTGTGCATGCTACGTGTGCATTTTCCAAGGGTTCAAACAGAACACACTAGGAACTCCAAGAGTCACAGGGCGAAGAGCACTGCGGCCAGCACTCGGATCCAGTCATCAGTGACCTCGCCCAGGCCTCGGCTTCTCTATAACTTATGAGGACAGGACAGGGCTGCCTGCTTTCTCAGGTCCCTGCCAGTTCTAGAACCTAGAACCTAAGATTCAGAAAAGTAACAGGGGCTCTGAGTTTTTATTTATTTTTTAAGCTTAATTTTTTTTCTTTTTTTTTGAGACAGGGTCTGGCTCTGTCACCTTGGCTGGAGTGCAGTGTTGCCATTTTGGCTTATGGCAACCTCAACCTTTTAGAATCAAGCGATTCTCCCACCTCAGCATCCTGAGTAGCTGGGACAACCGGTGCATGCCACCATGACTGGCTAATTTTTTTAAAAAGAGAGATGGGGTTTTGTCATGTTTCCCAGGCTTGTCTCAAACTCCTGAGCTTAAGTGACCCACTCACCTCAGCTTCCTAAAATGCTGGGATTACAGGCATGAGCTACCGTTGGCCAGGACTCCAAGTAAGCCGAAGTTATAACTTCACACAATGATGTGCGGAGCAGATACAAAGCATTGGGTTGATTTATTCATTACTTAGAGATTATTGCCCTACCAATTACTTATTTAAACAAATCCCCCCAAAATGACTGCTTTTTCTTTTTTTAAAATTTTTATTAAAAAAAAAATCTTTTTTTGAAACAGAGTCTTACTCTGTTGCCCAGGCTGGAGTGCAATGGTGCCATCTCAGCTCACTACAACCCCTGCCCCCACCGGGTTCACCTGATTTCCCTGCCTCAGCCTCCTAAGTATCTGGGATTACCGGCGCCTGCCACTGTGTCCAGTTAATTTTTGCATTTTTAAATTTCGCATTTTTGCATTCACCATCTTGGCCAGGCTAGTCTTGGACTTCTGACCTCGTGATCCATTCACCTGCCTCAGCCTTTCAAAGTGCTGAGATTACAGACAAGAGCCACCATGCCCAGCCAATGACTGTTTTTTCTTCCTGGCTCCTAGACTTTTCCAGTTATTTGGAATCTGACTAAAAGTTTCCTATAATTATTTTTAGTCACTGACATGAAAAATGTTTTGTACTCAAGTAGATATGATTATAGTAATTTCTTTTTCTGAAATTAGTACATTCCAGGTAGTACATTTCTTACAATGTCTTCTCATTTGTTCTACCATTCCAGTTTCTAGGAGACAGCTCTTTTATATACATATATATACATACAAATGCATATATGCATAGATGTATATGTGTGTATAAATGTGTATACACATGCATTTAATATACACACATATCTACACACACACACATATAGAGATATTGATTTCTCGCTCACCATTATTTTTAACTTGAAGGCAAAAAAACCGTTGTTTAAAAATCTACATTATTACACTTGGAGATGTAGGAATGAATCACACTATATTTATAAACTATGCCCACACTTGCCAAGGCACATTAGTAGAAGCTATGGAATCATGTAAAGATCAGTGATTCACAAATTGTTTTTGGTAAGGAGCTTTAGACTAGAACGAATAGTCCTTGGAAGATTCTAGGAAAAATCCCCTCCTGCTTTTGACCAAAGTTCCAGGCAATGCCTTCGTCCGAAAGTATCAGCCCAAGTGGTAATGCCCCTGCCCCTTCCACCTCACTTGGCAGGGACATGCCCCCTCACTCCCCACCCCAGCCCGCACCTCCTGGGGCCCCTTACCTCCGAGGCGCCCTGCCGAGGTACGGGGCTATCTGAAGGCCACAGGCACCCTTCCTGGCGGAGGGGAAGGGAAGGAGAGTGGGGAACAAGAAACAGAAGAAAAACATTAGCCCTGCAGCATCTAAAAACATGAACCACAACTTCTGGAAACGGGGATCTGCTCAAAACGTGGAACGAGAAACAGCCGGTTTCTTTTCAGACCTCATGTCTACATGGAGAGCTGTGAACAAAAAGAAACATGGAAAAGTTGACCTCCTGGCCGGATGAGATAGTGGAATGTGGCTCACTCTACACCTGTGTGCTTGAAATACATTCAAGATGACGGTTCAACCGCATTCAGTGGCCTCTCGACGCGGGCAGGCTGGGTTGAGGAAGCCCTTACGGAGGCGGCCTCCCGCCGGCGCCCTGCAGCCTCCAGCAAAGGCGCACGGCTGCGCTCGCAGGTGGACGCCCCTTCCCAATCCCGAGTGTCCTTCCGCGCCCTACAGCGAGTGTCACCGCCAGTCCGCTTATTCACAGGGCAGCTGCAACTTCACATCTGGTGGCTTGGTATCTTTTCTCAAAAACGTCTGGCCAGATTGACAAGGCGACAGGCCAGCCACAGGCCTCACGAAAGGTTCTTTCCAAGGCCGCACGCGTGCTGGAAGAAAATCACGCGTGGTACCCTTTTCAGCCCAGTGTGGCTGTCTGCAGGGTCCGCGCGGCGGGGCTGTCGACCGTCTTGGGAGAACGGGAACTCAGCGGGGAGGAGACCGCGTTTGGGGTACTCTTGGAAACCGGCGGGCTGGGCCATCACTGAGCCTCCGAGGGCCCCAGCGCCAGTAGCGAGGGGCGGCGCGACAGAAACACCGCGCCTCGCGTTTGTCCAACACAGCCGGTTCCTGAGATACTCGGGGACATCCTGGAATTAGTGGCAAAAATACAGGGCGGTCCAACTGTGCGGAAACGAAGCATCGACTCAGGGACCTCCTGTAACCTGAGGGAAGGGCCCGGCCTAGGGGGCACCGGCGAGGGCAGGGGTAGGGCGCCTGCGGGGCGACAGCGGGAAGGGGGCGGAGGCGCTCGCACAGCCAGGGGCCCGGGCTCCTCCTCCCCAGGCTCCGCCCGCGCCGCCCTCCGCCCGCCCAGCCGGCAGGGGCGCTCCTCACGCCCGAGCCCAGTCAGCCACAGCCGGGAGCGCCGCCGGGTCCACCTGCGGGGCACTCAGAGGGGCTGAGCGGATCCTGAAAACCGTAGTGACCGTCCCCAGTGGCCTTATTTCCCCAAAAACGAGCAAACCCGACCAAGAGCCCCAGTCCAGCCCGGCGGCGCCCCCGAGGCCCGGTCCTCAGCTGACCCAGGACCCGCTCCCCTCGCTGCACCCACGCCAACAGGCGGCCCAGCCACCTAGTCCGAGGTGTGCCCGCTGCTCCTCTGGGCCGCCTCCTCTCTCCCTCACCCCAGCCCTCGGCCCCAGAGGCCCCGGCGTCCCTCCTGGTCTGCGGTACTGAGTGTCTGGGCAGAGGCTGCTGCGCTGGGTGGTACTCGCTGCAGCTTCCTTGAACGCGAGGACTATCTTACCTATCAGTCAATGGATTGATCCATCTATCTCTATCTAATCTATTTCTATCTATCCATTCATCCATCTAATCTATCTCTATCCGTTTGTCTCTACCTATCCAACTTGTCCATTCATCAGTCAAGGCTATCTAGCTATCTAAATATCTCTATCTATCTAAATATCTGTATCTGTCCATCCATCTAATCCACCTATCGAGATGAGGGTCTCGCTATGCTGCCGAAGCTGATCTTGGACTCCTGGGCTTAAGCGATCCTGCCTCAGCCTGCTAAAGTGCTGAAATTACAGGCCAGCGCCACCATGCCCAGTTAAAGGGCTGTCTTCCCACAGCACCCATAACTAAGAATTGTTGCTGTTGACATCTCATCAGACTTGTCTCATCTTTTCCTCTATATGTGTATTTAAAAAACTACATATGTAATCCATGTATACATTCTCCCTTGTACCACACACAAGCAAAGGCATTCTAGGGCCCCAAATCACCCTTTACTTGGTGCTGCTCCTCTCTGCACCCGGAGTTCACTGTGTGTGTTCCTCTGTGTGTTTTTAATAATGCATTTCCCAGTCCCACATGTGTGACACACGTATAATCTAAGTAACTAAATTCTTTCTTAGGGCCTGTGAACCCAGGCGTCCCTCTTCTCCATTCCCTCTCTCATTGACCTTATCCGGCCTGTCAGCAGACCTTCTAAGCATCCCACAGAGAGTTCCTGAGGCCAGGAAAGGGGTGCAGAGGGTAACTCAGGGCATGGCTGCAGCCCTGGAGTCTCCTCCCGGCCACGCCACCTTCCCCAGCCTTGCTGCCCAGGCCAAGCCAGCCTTGGACGTTTCCCAGGCCAGCGCACTAGTGTGGGTCCCATCTGCTCCTGTCACTCAAAACAAGGGCACAACTGTTATCTATTGATTTATCTTGCTGGGGTGGAAAAAGGTGTCCTGCCCTGAGGTTCTCAAAGCCTGAGAACCAAGCCTGGAGCAGGAGGAGGTTGGCCTCCGTAGAAGAGTTCAGGCCATTCCTGCCTTGGGACATCTGCCAGACGGGATGGCCTGGAGATAGGAAATTTTCCTGCCTGGCTTTTTCGCAGGAATAATATAACAGCAAAATTAAAAATCCAAAATGGGAGAAAACGCATCTACAGTTCCATCATCCTAATACTTGAACAGATTTCTTTTTTTTAAGTGCTTTTCTAATGCTTTTTCATTTGCATACATTAAATTTATACAGCTGTAACCATAATGTGACCAGAGTTTTGTATTCTCTTCTTCACAGTATAACATCAGCGCTTTCCTCTGTCACCACCAGTTTTTCCAGCTTTGATGTAATAAATACTAAAAATTGTTGCTATATAATAATTTATTTAACTATTTACTCATAATTGCACCCTACTTCAATTTATTTACTTTTATAGAAACATTTTTTCCAGTGTGGTGCACAGGGGACATTATAACTACAAGACACTGTGGTGGAACAGCTTGAGGCCAACAGCTGAGAGGGCTGGCACTTCAGCTCTGTGCCCCAGGCTGCTGTGCAGAAAACCCAGATGGGAAGACTGACCAGAGTTCTAGAAAGGCTGAATCCCAACCACCCCATACCATTAGCTGATGCTCACTCCACAATCTCCTCTGGCTATTCCACCAAGGCTGTCACATGCTGTCGGCAAGGTCACTGTCCTTATCCCTTAAACCTCTTGCACTGCTGGTGAAACCTGCTGGCTCCTCCTCCATCTCTATGTCAAACAAGGATTTAACTCTGTGACTGGTGCCCTCCAAGGGACTTGTGCCAACTGAAAGACTGCAGATAGCTGAGTACAAAGATGTGTCCCCCTTGTCTAGGGTGGGGGGTCTCCACTCCACATGCTAGGGGGAACATTTTCAGGGAGAAGGGGGCTCACTAAACAGCTGGCTTCTGCTCAGATGGCAGCATTCCGATATCCTCATTATAGGACCAATTTTAATGTCGTCAATGAAGGCACTGATGTTCTCGGCTAATGCTTGCATTGTTGTATTATTCAAAATAAGCTGTGAAATAAGATAATACTTAAAGTAGTTCACAGAATTTTGAGCAATAGGAACACAACTTTGTTAATAATTTTGCACAGGTTGAAATGCATTCCCTGTCTTGTAGGCTGTTTCCTGGTAAGAACAACCGACAGGGAGGCGGCATTCACCCCGCTGTTCATTCACGACTTCACTGTTCGTGTACTGAATACTTCCTTGCAGCGGGTCTCAGTCCTCTGCCATTGCAACATATGACTGGATGTGCACATGGCCAACGGATACTGGTGCTGCACGTCCCCAAGGGGTGGGGGGCAGGGGCTCTGTACAGCTCCCAGGGCTCAAGTAGTCACTCCAAATCCTTTGCTCCACTCAAGAAAGCATCCTGGAAAGCCAGTGGGTTAGAGGGACATTACTCTAGGGATCACTTTGAATGAATTCTAGTTTACTTTTTAAGGCATAGTACTCTCAAATCACTCATGTTTGACCATTATAAGGACCAGTTCTTTGAGACCCACACGCACCTGAGCAGGAGATACCAGGGGGTGTTACACCTGCCCCAGGGATGCTTACAAGAGGGCATCTGCTTTGGGGGACACAGAGGTCTGGCAGCGGCTCTCAGAGGCCTCCCGTATGTGCAGTGCATTGCATGCGTGTTTTTATTCTCTTACTTTCTCCCTGGAACAAAGGCACCAACAAAAAAGGTAATATGAAATACCTGATGACAGTTTAATATTACACAGATGGAGGCTACTACTCTCAGCACAGGTATAAATCTGTAAGGTAAGAAGTCTCTGAGGAAGGTAGCCACTGCACAGGCTAGAATTCTAGCCATGTTTTTCATTTTAAAATTTAAAACAATTTATTATTTTTTTTAAGAGACAAAGTCTCTGTTGCCCAGGCTGGAGAGCAGTGCATTTTCATAAATGTTCTCATAGCTTTGAACTCCTGGTCTCAAACCATCCTCCCACCTCAGCCTCCCAGAATGCTGGGACTACAGGTGTGTGCCACTGAGCTCAGCTTCTGCCACTTTCTAAACTGTGACCTGAGGCAGCTCACTTAATTTCTTCCACCCTCAATTTCCTTATTTGTAAAAAGTGGTGGTCATGAGGCTCAAACACCATCTATGAGATTCCGTAGCACAGTGCCTTAAATAAGCTTCAGCAAATGGCAGCTCTTCTCATCGCAGGGAATGGTTACCCGCTATTGTTATGCACAGTTAACGGGGGATAATTTTCCATTATCTCTTTTAAGATATCTCTTTAAAGACAACGAGTTCATTGACATTTCCTTTTTATTTTTTTAAAGAGTATTCCAAAGGTGGCACTTTGAATGGAAAGGCTGAGGAATGAGAGTGGCTTAAGCCCCCATTTGTGTTAATTCCAGATTTCTTCAGAAGCTTCCTCCTAAGGATGGGTACTGCATGAGCCAAGAGACTCCTCATGGGCAAGTTCTTCTCTGGCTCTGGCTACTTGGTTTCAGTAGAACCCCAGGTGCTACACAA